GGACACTGGTTCTGCAGACAGTGCATCACCTCATACTGGGAGCAGAGACCTCCATCAGGAGACCCCTCCTGTCCCCAGTGTGGAGAAAGATCCAGAACCAGAGCTGGACTGCTGACAGCCAGTCAGACCAGCTCTGTACGAGGTAAGAGGCCGAACTCATGCAGCTTCTTATTCCTCTTCCTGGTTCATTTGTGTGATGATTAGATTCTCAGAGCATTTTCCTCATTCTCTCATGTTTCCTTCTCTTCCAGCAGATAGTGGTCTGCAGGAGGTTTTAGATGAACATAGGCTCAGTTTGAGGAGGAGATGTGAACGTGTGACTGAAGGAACTGATCAAAGTGAAACCCTCCTCAACAGGATCTTCACTGAGCTCTACATCACACAAGGCCAGAGTGAAGAGGTTAATACCCAACATGAGGTGAGGCAGCTGGAGACAGCTTCCAAGAAGAAGCCCCTCCATGACACTCCAATCAAGTGCCAGGACATCTTTAAAGCCTTACCTGACCAACAGACTCTCATCAGAGCGGTCCTGACCAACGGAGTCGCTGGAGTTGGAAAAACCTTCTCAGTGCAGAAGTTCACTCTGGACTGGGCCGAGGGTTTGGGAAACCAAGATGTCAGTCTGGTGATCCCGCTCTCCTTCAGGGAGCTGAACCTGATCAAAGGTGAGCAGTACAGTCTTCTCAGGCTGCTCCATGTTTTCCATCCAACCTTACAGAAGGTCACAGCAGAGCAGCTGGCTGTCTGCAAAGTGCTGCTCATCTTTGACGGCCTGGATGAAAGCAGACTTTCTCTGGACTTCAGAAACAATGAGGTTGTGTCTGATGTCTCACAGCAGTCCTCAGTCAACGTGCTGCTGACAAACCTCATCAGGGGGAAGCTGCTTCCCTCGGCTCTCGTCTGGATAACTTCCCGACCTGCAGCGGCCAATCAGATCCCTCCTGAGTGTGTGGACAGGGTAACAGAAGTACGAGGCTTCACTGACGCCCAGAAGGAGGAGTACTTCAGGAGGAGATGGAGTGATGAAGACCTGTCCAGCAGAATCATCTCTCACATCAAGAGCTCCAGGAGCCTTGACATCATGTGTCTGATCCCAGTCTTCTGCTGGATCACTGCTGCAGTTCTGGACCACATGTTGACTACAGACCAGAAAGGAGAGCTGCCCCAGACCCTCACTGACATGTACTCACACTTCCTGCTGGTCCAGACCAAGAGGAAGAAGCAGAAGTATGAAGAGGGACATGAGACGAGTCCACAGCAGCTGACGGAGGCTGACAGGAAGGTTCTTCTGAAGCTGGGGAGGCTGGCGTTTGAACATCTGGAGAAAGGAGAGATCATGTTCTACCAAGAAGACCTGGAGCGCTGTGGTCTTGGTGTCAACGAGGCCTTGGTGCACTCAGGAGTTTGTACACAGATCTTCAAAACAGAGAGAGTGATCTTCAAGAAAACAGTCTACTGCTTTGTTCATCTGAGCATTCAGGAGTTTCTGGCTGCAGTCTACATGTTGCACTGTTACACCAACAGGAACACAGAGGTACTGAAGGACTTCCTGCAGAGAGACTATAGCAACAGCAGAGATCAGGATTACCCATCCCTCAATGACTTCCTGAAGGGAGCCATGGAGAAATCCCTCAGAAGTAAAAATGGCCACCTGGACCTGTTTGTCCGCTTTCTCCACGGCCTCTCTCTGGAGTCCAACCAGAGACTGTTAGGAGGCCTGCTGGGTCGCACAGACAACAGACCAGAAACCATCCAGAGAGCCATCAGCAACCTGAAGGAGATGAGAAGTGGATCCTCTCCTGACAGGAGCATCAACATCTTCCACTGTCTGACAGAGATGAAGGACCACTCAGTACATCAGGAGATCACAGAGTTCCTGAAGTCAGAGAACAGATCAGAGAAGGAACTCTCTTTGATCCACTGCTCTGCTCTGGCCTACATGCTGCAGATGTCAGAGGAGGTTCTGGATGAGTTGGACCTGACGAAGTACAACACATCACCGGAGGGACGACAGAGACTGATTCCAGCTGTGAGGAACTGCAGGAAGTTCAAGTAAGTCCAGATGTGATTAACTTTATAAACTAATGTGGATCAGGAGTTTAATTATTCAAATAAACACTATAACATTTCTGCTGTATAAATACTGAGAGCAAAATAAAACCAACACTGTTCTTCTATTTATTTATAATAATAGTTAAACTGAAGCGTTCCTCTCTTCATATTGAGTGATGGAGGCGACATGTCAAACACATGAAGGACTCTAGAGGTTTCTCAGCATGTGATCACACCACACAGCAGGACTTACAGTTATCACAGAAACATGTTATTATTACTTTCTAGTAGTTTCTTTATCATTAAACACGTTTTTATCACAATGTCTTAGAGTTTAAAATCAGATCTATATAATTTCCCACCAATAACAGAGTTATGTCTTAATGCTGATATACTGGGAACATCTGATGGTATCAAGTTGAACATATTGAAACTTTATTGGTTTGTTAATTGTGTTTGTGTGCACAATAAATGTTCAGATGTTCAGAGAAGCCAAAGCATCCTTCATCCATCATTCACATCCACATATTAACTAACATTTAAATATGTACATCTCTAATATTGTCAAGTGATTCATTTAATTTCTGTTTCTTTTGGTAACAGTCAGTGACAGCAGGAGCACAGACATGTGATCAGATCACACTGACAACTCATTACACTCTATTGTAATATATTATTATATATTATATTAAATGGACTAACAGCAAATGTCTTTCAGAACATGTCAAATCTTTTTTCATCAAATGCTTGATGTTAATATAATGTTTCCTCTTTTTTAACACATGTTGTAATATATGTTTGTTTATAGATTTACTGGCTTAGGACTCTTAGAGGCTGAATGTGAAGTCGTGGCCTCAGCTCTGAGGTCTGATCCCTCTCATCTGAGAGATCTGGACCTGAGTTGGAACCCTCTGAAGGATTCAGAAGTGGAGCTGCTGAGTTCTGGACTAAAGAGTCCAAACTGCAGACTGGAGGCTCTCAGGTCAGTTCACTGACTGCAGTTCATATTGATCTGTTGGTGTTTATGAATTTCTGAATTTGAACAAATACAATGTTATTTTTATTTTTTCCATGTTTGCTAATGACTGAATATTGATCAGAGTAACAGAGAGAAGGTGAATGTGTGAGGGAGAGTGTTTGAGCTTCCACAGACTCACTCTGTGCTTCATGAGTCAGTGGAGATGCTGTCAGTACTGATGAGCTGTGAGGGAGATGAAGGAGTTGTTAAACATCTGATCAAAGTTAAAGTTCCAGATTATCAGTGGATTGTTTCTGCATCATCTCTGACATTAAAACCCTGTTTGACTCTGAACAGATTATTAAACCTGGAGTTATTTCAAACAGGAATATTGTTTTCTAAATGTACATCATGTTTTCTTTACTCAGACTGTGGCACTGCTGGTTGTCAGAGATCAGCTGTTCTGCTCTGGTCTCAGCTCTGAAGTCCAACATCCATCTGAGAGATCTGAACCTGAGTGAGAACGCTCTGCAGGATTCAGGAGTGGAGCTGCTGAGAGATCTTCTGGAGAGTCCAGACTGCAGACTGGAGACCCTCAGGTCAGTTCACTGACTCTCTGTTACTGCTGGAGATCTCACATGTTCACTTTGTCATTGAACCTCATTTATATTCATTAATAACTTACATCCATAAAGTTGTAAATGTCCTTTTATTCATATCTCATTTTTAAGAGTAAGAAGAAAGAACTGCAGACATACATGTTGACGGTTTCTTGAAGTAACTGAAATAGATGTTAGTTGTAAAAAGTAAATCTATGTATTTAATATTTGGTAAACGATAACGTCTGAATAAAGGTCATCTGAAGTCATTTTAGTTTGACATTGTGATGGGAATTTATTCATCAAATGTGGAGAGAGAATCAAAGCATTCAGCTCTTTGTCGTATTTTATTTCTTGAAGAAAGTTCAGTCAGTCACACAGAGAGCATACAGTCTGCAGAGAGGAAGAGTAGAGTTTGGGTTGCATATTTAAACACAGAGAGAGGAGAAAGGGAGGGGGGAAGCTTGGTGATGATGAAGGAGCATTCTGGGAGTTAGGGAGTTAGGGAGGCCGTATCAGGAAGTCCTCAGTTCACCTGAGGTGAAGGTCATACTGTTGGTGCACATAGAGAGTCACTAACAACACTGCAACACATCTTCTTCATAAGGACTTTCCCCAAGCTTAGCTAAGAAGAGTGAGAAGTAGTAAATATAGATAAACATTAGCAAATAAGAATCACACAATGATATTATTAAAGTAAGTAAGTGAGTATAATTGTTGTTGTTGTTGAGTAACATCTGATTGGATTATAAACAGATTTGTATCCTCATCATGTTTTCTTTATTCAGACTGGGTAACTGCTGGTTGTCAGAGATCAGCTGTTCTGCTCTGGCCTCAGCTCTGAAGTCCAACATCCATCTGAGAGATCTGGACCTGAGTCTCAACGATCTGCAGGATTCAGGAGTGGAGCTGCTGAGAGATCTTCTGGAGAGCCCAGACTGCAGACTGGAGACCCTCAGGTCAGTAAGGGGTCTCTGCTGGTTCAGCAGTATTGTATGAAACACAGGGAGGTGTTTCTCTCACTGGGGAATCACAACAGATCAGTGATGTTACCCACTGACTGCAGGCTCTTTCATTCTTCCATCAACTATAGAAGGCCAGCTGAAAATGCAAAGCCACATTTAGTAAGTAATCAACTTTCCACCAGACATATGGGATTTGACAGAAGAGTGGAAAAGGTAGTCTGTTTTTGATGGGATGTTTTTAGCTCCTTGACTAATGACTGTTACTTCCTGTAATGCAGCTGAGAGCTGTGGCAGTCAGTCGTAGTGTTGGCAGAGAAGATATGATGGGATGTAAAGCATGAGATCAGTCAGGACTCTGAAGCTGACTCAAAGAACAAAGACTTATTTTAAACTGGATCCATAACTGTTGGATTGTGTTCATCCCTACAGGATCAGAGAGGATGAGACGATCAGAGCCAAGATCCAGAAGAACTGTGAGTACTGAATATCCTCCATTCATCAAGATATGAAACTCTTTCATGGAGCATGTCCTCAGAGGAAAACAACACTCTTTTCTCTCTTCATCATTTTGGCTGTTTCTCTTCACAACAACTGTCTATCAAAACAGTGACGCGTTCACTGACACTCTGTAAAATGTAAATAAACTCTGAAGAATAAAACACATGAAAACATCAACATTATAACCAGTCTGTTACAGTATTACCATCAAAATATACTTGAGTAAAAGTAGAAGTACTCAGATCTTGTACTTGAGTAAAAGTAGAAGTACTCAGATCTTGTACTTGAGTAAAAGTAGAAGTACTCAGATCTTGTACTTGAGTAAAAGTAGAAGTACTCAGATCTTGTACTTGAGTAAAAGTAGAAGTACTCAGATCTTGTACTTGAGTATAAGTATAAGTACTCAGATCTTGTACTTGAGTATAAGTAGAAGTACTCAGATATTGTACTTGACTAAAAGTAGAAGTTCTCAGATCTTGTACTTGAGTAAAAGTAGAAGTACTCAGATATTGTACTTGACTAAAAGTAGAAGTTCTCAGATCTTGTACTTGAGTATAAGTATAAGTACTCAGATATTGTACTTGACTAAAAGTAGAAGTACTCAGATATCGTACTTGAGTAAAGGTAGAAGTACTCAGATCTTGTACTTGAGTAAAAGTAGAAGTACCAGAGTGTAGGAATACTCTGTTACAGTAAAAGTCCTGCATTCAAAAATGTTCTTCAAGTAAAAGTAGAAAAGTATTCTCATCAAAATATAGTGAAAGTAGCGACAGTAAAAGTAGTCATTGTGCAGATTGGTCCATTTCAGAATAATATATATGATATGTTTTATAATGATTGATCATGAAAGTGTTCTCAAAGCTGGTAAAGGCGCAGCTAGTTTGAATGACTTTGTATACTGCAGGGTAGCTTGTGAATTTACTCCAGGTGGAACTAAAGTCTGATTTAACACTTGATTATATTTCACATCATTCATCCAGATCTGTGAAGTAACTAAAGGTATTAAATACATGTAGTGGAGTAGAAGTACACCATGTACCTCTGAACTGAAGTGGATTGGAAGTACAAAGTAGCATAAAAGGGAAATACTCAGGTAAAGTACAAGTACCTCAACATTGTACTTAAGTACAGTACTTGAGTAAATGTACTTAGTTCCTCTCCTGATCTGTAAAGCTCTCCCAACATATGCAGGTTAGCATCCGGCAGCTTCTATGTGCTGGGGACCCGTACTGTACATTTCTCTCATCACACTTTGGGCTCCTCAACATGTGTGGGTTCCCAGCAGGACTCTCTGAGCTGCAGACACATTCTTTCTGTGACTTTGTTCCAGATATTTGGAGCATAATAACTGAAGCTGTTTCTCCATGTTCAGGAACTCCCATCCCCCGAGTCCTGCGGCAGGAAGCGCTCCTTCTCTCCAAGAACTCCTGGACCCTGCAAGCTGGTCCAGAACCAGAGTCCCAGTGAGGAGTCCAGCCAGTCCACCTCTCATAGTTAAACTAAACTACAACATTATTAAAGATCATGTTTAAAGTTAAAAAAGGATGCTTTCAGACTGAATCCAGAAGTTTCTCAAGCTGCAGTCAAAACAGATCATTTGAGAAATATATAAAACAATTATAAAACTGTAATAAGAATTACTCTGAATACTTTCTTTGGACATTTTATTTACATTTATTTTAAACAAATATTTCAAATGTTTCTGACTTTCTATCCGAGTGCTTTTCTCATGAATTAACGACTTCATTTAATTTCCATCTTTATTTCGAACAGATTAAAAAAACAAATAAAAAATAACAGATGTGAAAAGCAGAATACCGTATTGTTAGAATACAGTATTCATCAATATTCATAATAATAATAATAATAAATCATATGTGTCCGAAAGGGAGCGGGAGGAAGCAAATGCTTATTAATTCCCACCCCTTACTTACCGCTGATCAATGATTATCCTTTAAATCATTTCTGCAAGTTATTCCTACTTACATATTTACATTTATACATACATTTACAATAATCTCTCATCTTCAATCACCTTAAATCATTCTCATAGTTTTCCAAGAAAGTGTTTCTGTACATCCTTTTAAAGTGAATTATATTTGTGCTTTGTTTGAACTCCTGCTCCAAACCGTTCCATCAAATCACCCCACAGATTGTTCTACTCATACTTCTCACAGTTGTTCTGACCTTGAGTTGTTTCAAATGTAGATTTCCTCTCAAATTATACCCGCCCTCTCTGTCTATGAACAATGTTTGTAATTTCCTAGGAAGTAGATTATGTCTTGCTCTGTACATGATTTGTGCCGTTTTAAATGTAACCAGATCAGTGAACTTCAGTGTGTGTGACTTCAAGAATAATGAATGAGTGTGTTCAAGATATCCAACATTATTGATTATTCTTATAGACCTTTTTTGTAATGTGCATAACGGCTGTAGGTTGGTTTTGTAAGTGTTTCCCCAAATCTCCACACAGTAACTCAGACATGGCAATATGTTATACAGAGCATAATGAGTTGTAGTCCAGAATGTGTCTTGCTTTCCCCAATATTGCGATAGTCTTAGCCAGTTTAGCTTTTACATGATTGATATGAGGTTTCCAGCTGATCTTGTGGTCTCAAACCACACCAAGGAACTTCATTTCATATACTCTTTCTATGTTTATGTTATCTAGTATTAATTGCACCTGAGGATTTGTTTTATGTTTTCCAAATAGCATAATATTTGTTTTGCTTATATTTAATGTTAATTTGTTCTTAAATCTTTTTTTTTTTTCTTGTGTATTTCATAAACAGGATATTTGATTTTTTTATAATAAATATTATTTTCTCAGCTCTGTGATAAAAAAACACATTTTAAAAATAAATATCCCACTTCTTGTACTTATATCCTGATTGATGAGTCAGCAGTAAAGCAGCCAGGCGTTAACGGTCAGCTGGCATGTGTATCTGTTCATTGGCTCATATGTGTAGCATGTTTAATGGCAGTGTGTTGAAAATGGCTGACAGGTGAATATGTCAGATCTCTGTGTGTTACTCAGAGAACCGTGTGCAGTGTTTTAGAAAGTGCAGAGTTGAATTGCAGATTGTGTGCAGAGCTGAAAATGTGTTTAGAGTTCTGTTTGATTTGATCCAGCCAGTTCTGCCGCAGCAAAGCATAAGGGCTCAGAGCTTGGACCTATTGTGTTCACATTATATACGCTTCCTTTAGGCAATAAGGAATCACTCGGGACATTTTCATTGTTATGCGGATGATACTCAATTATACACAATATAGACAAAAGTATTGGACCACCTACACATGAGAGAGATACCGCAGGTCCTTCCTTCCTGCAGCGGTCAGACTATATAACCACCACGACCCCTAGTAGACCCCCCACAAAACAACACAGATTATAACGCCTATTATAATTTCTTTTTAAAATCTTTAATACTTTGTTGTATGCATGCTTTAGGTAACATGAAGCTGTCTCTGGCTCTTTCTGCTGTAACAATGTACATGTATCCTCTGTGGGACTAATAAAGGGATTCTGATTCTGATTCTGATTCTGATTACACCTCCAGGAGCTTTCAGGACATCCCATTCCAAACTCTTAGGCATTCATTTGAAGTTGGTCCCCCTTTGCAGCTATAACAGCTTCCACTCTTCTGGGAAGGCTTTCTACAGATCTTGGAGTGTGTCTGTGGGAATTGTTGCTCATCCAGAAGAGCATTAGTGAGGCCAGTGGCGGTTTTATATGAACAAAAGGGGTGGGGTACGAACGGCGGGGGGGAATTACATAATGTCGGAAGCCATGAATGAAGAACACGGAGCAACACTGTCAGCGCATACATTTACGTGCACAGCGTGGGGATGTCATATTGTAATGCACCTTAATACATGCAGTAAAGGGCACCATCACAAAGCAATACTTAACAATAACAACAACCGTAATGCTTCAGCATTAAACACCAGACTGTAAATATAAGTATCACCGAGGTCACAATATCAATGGATCCAGCAGAGCAATAGCCTAAAGGCAAAACACAGAAGATCAACAAAATATATGACATAAAATGAACTTACCAAAGCTGAAGTAGACGGTCAACTTCATTCATTTTCTTTCCGTTTGACTGATTGTAATCGCTCTACGCTGCTCTCTCTCGTCTCCTCTTCACAACTACACTTTTCGCAGCACACGTACTTACAGCCAATCAGCTCTGAATTATGAGATGACATTTTGGTGGGGCTGCCAGCACTCTGCCCCACTTGTGATTATTTTTTGGCCGCACACATTAAATACAAAAATACTCTGAGCAGGCGCAGTGTAGTTTTTACATTCATTCATTTTGACAGCGAGAGGGGCTAGATCGGGGCTTGCCCCACATCGCTCTACACGGCTCAATAGGTACACTGTAGACACTAATTAGCAAAATAGCAATGTACAGACGAATCAGATGACTAAACATGATCTTAAAATATATTTTAAGATGTATATTCTTTGCATATTTTTGGAATTATTATTTTAATTACTTTCTGCTGACACTAGGTGGGGCTGTGTCCCTAATGACGAGTCGCCACTGGTGAGGTCAGACACTGATGTTGGACGAGAGGCTGGCTCTCCGTTCTAGTTCATCCCAAAGGTGTTCAGTGGGGTTCAGGTCAAGTTCTTCCACACCAAACTCATCCACCCAGGCCTTGATGGAGCTGCTTTGTAGGGCTACGTCATGCTGGAACAGAAAGGTTCTTCCTCCCCAGACTGTTTCCACAAAGTTGGAAGCATAGAATTGTCCAAAACGACTTGATAAGATGAAGCATTAAGAATCCTCTTCACTGGAGCTAAGGGGCCGAGGCCAACCCCAGAAAAACAACCACAGCATTACCCCTCCTCCACCAAACTTTACAGTTGGCACGATGCAGTCAGGCAGGTAACGTTCTCCTGCATTCCCCTAACCCAGCCTGGTCCATCAGAGGTCCTTCACATGCTGATATCCAAGAGAGGGAGTTACACAGTCACAAGATGGAGGAATAGAAAGCAGTATTCAATGTTTAGTTCAGATTAGCTCCACGTCAGAAATGAGCATGCTTGTCATATGTCTATCTCCATAGAGGCTGAATCATCATGTTAATCACATAGCTATCATATGCCTCAAACAGTCCTGATGCGCTTCTAGGTAATCTTACATCCTGTCATGTACACAGCTACAGTTGGGATACCTTTGTTATCATGTTACTCTGATGTTGGAAGAGGACATTCAGTATTTTCCAAACAGTGGAATATCTAGGAGAGAAGACATTTCACGAACTGACTTGTTGCAACGGTGGCCTCCTATTACAGAACCATGTTGGAATTCAGCGATCTCTTTAGAACGACCCATTCTTTCACAAATGTTTGTAAAGGCAGACTGCATGGCTAGGTGCTTGATGTATACAGCTGTGGCAATGGGACTGAATGAAACACCTGAGTTCATTGATTAAGAGGAGTGTCCCAATACTTTTGTCTATAGTGTGTGTCAGTGTATAATGTTGAAAAAATCAATCTAAAAGTCAATCATCTTCCACAGCAAACACCAATCTAGGAGTTACTGACAGAACCAGGTATTTTGTCATTTTTGAACAATATACGATAATACTTTATTTTGAAGGATTGTCTTTTAGATTAATTTTTTCATCATACTATACTTTGACTTGTTTTGTCGTACTGTAATGTGTAATGTTTTCTCAGCTCTTTTTACATACTATACTATTAATTATATTAATATACTATTAATTAATGGGTTAAAAACGATTACAAAGGGTTTAACACAAGAACATATGTAGGCGAATCATCACAGATGAGAGAGAGGGGGGGGGGGGTCTTATATAATGGAGACTTTACTGTAGAATCAACAGCTTCATAAACTTTATTAATTATTCAATGTTTACTTAAAGGGGACCTATCATGCAAAATGCACTTTTGTACGTCTTTTATACATGAATATGTGTCCCCGGTGTTCCAGGGAACTCACCAAGTGTCAGAAAACACAACCCTCTCTATTTTCCTCCATACCCAAATCTCTAAAAAAGGGGCTGCAACGGATCTGATAAAAACTGATCCAGATTTGAACACTGTCCTGACGTCAGGACGGTGGCGCTACGGCTATTGGGCCAACTCCACCAATCAGGAGGAGACAGCCACGGCCATTGCCGTTCGAAAGCGCTGGAGACGCTGTAGTACATATGCCAGGCCTGTAGATGGTGCTGTTCTCACTGAATCAGCCCTTGCTAAAACAGGGGTAAAAAAGTGCAAATTGAGCAAAATGAGGCATGGCTAAAATGCATGATCTGTTTGGTATTTAAAAAAAAAAAAAAGTATAAATATGCCTTATATAGGTATGGTCCTACACTATATTATTATAATATAGCATGATAGGTCCACTTTAAAAACAAACACGAAAATCAGGACGACTGTGCAGTTTCTGAACATTTGATTTAAAAAACATTTATTAGTGTAACAATGATTTTTCACCCATTTGACACCATACAAGTACAACATGAGCAGTTATATATCTGGACGTTGATCGTAATACATGTATTTTACCACTGCAAACAATAACATCATCAACATTTAATCAGCAAGACTCTGAAATGCCAACATTAAATATGACATCAAAGAATAATAAAGTACGTGTCATTTAAATAGAAGTAATTACAGAAGATGATTGAATTTAGATTTCTTTTTTAAATACTATGTTTTTTTCCTGGTATTTTCATCATTGTACACTATACAATATATATGACATTTCTCTCATCTCTATTT